TTATTTAGGGTATTTGTATCTGTGGTTCCACAACTCAAAAAAAGAATATTCAATTTAAATCTTAAATAGCTATAGAAACAAAACTAAAATGACAGCATTGGATTGTCTGTTAATCTGTTATTTAGCTTGCCACTCAAAAAGCCAAGTGAAAAGGTATAACATGCAACCCTTTCTAAAAAGAGTAAAACAGTGGTAATTACAGTGGGGGCCCTCCTTCTGACTACTAAACTCCTTGCTTAAAGCATTGTTGGAATACAAATTAGAAGAGTACATCTGGCATGGGGGTACACATAGGAAGAACTGGTTTCTAAGAAATCTGGATCCCATACTGTGAAGGGCTTTAAAGCACTAGCACCTCAAATTGGACCAGACACATACTTTCTGCCGGTGCAATGGGTATAGCATAGGCTGAATTCATAGGAAGCCGCATTCTGCACTAGCTAAACCTAGCTAAAATTTCGGAGGAGTCTAAGGACAGCACTACATACAACAGGTTAAGGTAGTTAAACCTTCAAGTTACATACATACATAGTAGTTTCTCCTTTTCCTAGGAAGTACTGGTCTACCTCACAGATCTTGAGAAATCAAGGCTGTAAGGTGTTTTAAACAGATATTCATACCACACTTTGATTTTAGCAACCAGAGGTACGTCCTGTAATAGATAAGACCTTTTTAAAAAACAGAAATAATATACTCTGCTCAAAATTATAGTTGTGAAAGGTCTACAGGGTTCACAGACTGTACTGAGTAACACTTTAGGGTACCAAAAATGTCATTTCGTTGGGAGTTTTTGGAGGAATCTCTGAACCTGAGCTGTTTTTTCATTAGGAAACCAATCATAATGAATGTGCTATGGATGAGGATGAAGATTCAACAGACACTGATGAATATGAAGACAGGCATAGAATGTTGGACATTCCATTCCTGCTCCTTCTGGATATTGCCCATGGCAAACCTGATAAAGCTTTCCAAAAACTGTTATCCACTGAAAGTGGATTCCAAGGGGAATAACTTGTACAAATATTTCTGAATAGTATAAATAACAAGCAGTGGAACACATAGCATGAGTGCTGGTGCTAATTCCATCTTGCTTCTGCCCAGATATATAAAAAGATACTTTTTTAATCTGAAGTTTTGGAGAAAATTTGTAGGGTGGAGACAGATGTGGAAAGGTAATAGTGTGGTAAGGTTTATTCTTTCATACAATTTGCAGTTGGGGGTTCTCATACATTTAAAAGTTATTTAAGATCAGAATGATGTTGACTGTGTGTGTGTGTACAAGTACAAGCAGTGTAACTTGGTGATGGCAAAATGAGAAGAGTAGGCATGGCATTTTTACAATGATTTTGTATTGTTCATCTCTGCTACAAACGAATGGAAGCCTTGCAGTTAAATTTATGTAATCATTGGATGCTCTTGTATATTTTAATATTAACACATCAATAACTAGGAAATTCCGAAATGGAGCTGGTAAGCTGGTATTTTTTTTAATTAAATTCTGTATTTGGTCTGTGATCATATTATAGGCCTTTGGAAAATGAAAAGTGTATTATCTACTGCATTTTCCCTTTTATTATATAAATATGTAAATAGCTTGGCTTTCTCCCTCATATGCCATGTAACTATTGTGATAAATTGTCTCAAGTATAAACATGTTTTCCTGAACACCATTACATGGAGTTTTATAATTACGTTTGACTAAAAATAGAGAACTCAATACTGGGTCACACCTGGAATATGTGCTTTATGGTATATAATGCAAAAGGGTGGGTGGGATATAGTATTATACAGCAATTGTGCAGTTTTCAGGTAGAGAAAAATGATATAAAAGAGAAGCAGTGGAGATACAGATGGCTCAAGAGATTCCTTGAAAATGATACTGGATAGTCTAATAAATCTCTGGGCTTGGATTTTGGTATAGTTTTTAAAAACCCTGTCTCATGACTTGCAGTTGTAGGTGGGCTGTGGTAGTGGTATAAAATGGTTTAAGTAAATGAGTGGAAGGCCCACGAAACTCGAAGGGGGGGGAATCCTATAAACCCCCCCCCCATTGCTGAGCCGGCAAGTCTGCAGGCCCCACCACCCGCCTGCTTCCTCACCTGTCAATCCTGGGCCCGCAGCGGCTGCCGGCATTCTTTCTTTCGGCTGGGCGTACAGTGAGTGCCAGCATCCTCTGCCACCAGGCTAACAGTGGCTGCCAATGTCAGCTGCTGCTGGGCCCAGAGCAGCAGCCAGCATCTTACTCTGCTGCAGTACCTGGATGTAGCACTTTCCCAATTGTATGAGGGGGGGGGATTTAAATCTGCCGTTGGGTTCACAGGTGACTATTAGAATATAAGATATGCAGTGCTAGCAATAATAGGCTCAGATTTTCCTCAGGGTGATACACAAATTAGTTTTTCACCAGGTTGACTCAATACACATCAGAGGAAACTTGTCTTAATCTAGTCCATCACGCTGTGTTCCATAGCATACATCAGCATGCCAAAGAAGGCATACAGCACAAGCTGATAGACCTAATCTGCATCCACTACCCATCAGTTAACTTCAGTGTTAATCCCCACTTTTCCCATGTAAAATTTTTATAAACCACCATCACATCTTTCCCTGGCATCAATCTTTAAAACTGAAATACTCCATACTCCTTTCCTTATAGAGACATTGTTCCTCTTAATCATGTTGGTTGCCTTTTTTTTTAATTTTTACCTTTTCCAGCTCTACAATAGCCTTTTTGAGAGTGTGCACAACTGCTGACTACACCATAGATCTATACAAGGGCACTACAATCCTATCCATTTCATTTGTGATCAGTGTTCCCTCTAAGCTGAGTTAGTGTGAGCTAGCTCATAGTTTTTTAGCCTCCGGCTCACCCATTTTTGCTTTCTGTTGGGAAGCAGGGCTCCAGAGCAAGCTGATTTATGCAGGAGCCAAATCACTTGCTCACAATTTGAATGCCAGTAGTTCACAAAGCTGAATTTTTGCTCACAAGACTCCACAGCTTAGAGGGAATATTGTTTGTAATTCTTTTCCTACTAATTCTTGTCATATACTTCGCTGCTGCCACACATGGCATTGATGCTTTTGTTGTACTATTCACTATAACTCCTTGACCTCTTCACTTGTCAGTCACCACCAGTTCAGGCCCCATCAGTACACCTGTGAAATTAGCATTCCTTGCCCCAAAGTACATCAACGCCGTTTGGAGATCACACGCCAGAGGCAGATTTTGCCCCTAGCATGTTCCTCGCCTCCCTGAGCTCTTTAAAGAGATATGGCCGCCGGTGGCAGCAGCAAAGACAACAGCTGCGGGGGGTGGGGCGCGAAAGGTTTCCCGCCTATCTGAGCGGGGGTGTCCTTCCACTGCTAGGGGCAAAATCCGCCTCATCACACTCGAGAGGTCATTCCGGCTCCCCCACCCCATGTAAGGGGCTCTTTAAAGAGATATGGCCGTCGCCAATGGCAACGGCTGGGGGGGGGAGAAAAGGTTTCCCGCCTCCCTGAGCCTGGGGGTGGTGGCCTTCCACTGCTAGGGACAAAATCCGCCTCTCGCGTGTGATGTCCGAACGGCATTGATGTACTTTGGGGCCAGGGCCGGCTCGCTCACTAGGCGAGATCGCCTAGAGTGGGCTGGCCCTTAGGGGCGCCAAACTGCACCCGGCTGTACTCTGGGAGTTTCTTGATTATTTGTGTTTTTCATTCTTCCTAAAATTCATTTATTTTTGAAAATTGGTGGGCGCACGGGTAGGGGGGCGCCAGAAGGGATCCCCGCCTAGGGTGCAAAATAAGCTGGGGCCGGCCCTGTTTGGGGCAAGGAATGCTAATTTTACAGGTGTGATGTCCGAGCCCCGTCGCCCTTGGCGTTGCCGCTCGGACATCACACGCGAAAGGTCATTCTGGCTTCCCCACCCCTCATAAGGGGCTCTTTAAAGAGATATGGCCAGCGTCAATGGCAACGGGCGGGGGGGGGGACGCGAAAGGTTCCCCCGCCTCCCTGAGCCCCATACACCAGTCTTCCCGGTGAGTCACATACTCCGGCGGGAAGCCCGCCAAAACGGTATGACACCCAGGGCCGGCTCACTCACTAGGCGATCGCCTAGAGTGGGACGGCCCTTAGGGGCACCAAACTGCACCCGGTCCCGTACTCTGGGAGTTTCTTGATTATTTGTGTTTTTCATTCTTCCTAAAATGCATTTATTTTTGAAAATTGGTGGGCGGGGGGGGGGTGGGGGTGCCAGAAGGGATCCTCGCCTAGGGTGCAAAATAAGCTGGGGCC